CGGGAGCAAGAGATGGGAGCTCACTCCGTCATGCGGCACCAGGGTCTCGAACTGCTGAACTACCGACCTTCCACAGCCTGCAGTTCAGCATCTTAAAACCACTTGAGCCACCGCAGCTCTGTAGGATACTTATCAAGCTACAATTCTGTTATACATCTTAGTATATGTGTCTGTAGTTTCTGGTCATTTTTTTGAAAAAAAATACTGTAGTTTCTGTTCTTTTTGTTAAAATGCTGTATTTTTTAAAAAGCTGCTATTCTGGTGACTTTGAAGTCTCTGTCACACCATGCACAGCCTTTTCGGGGAGAGGAGCTCACTCCATCATGCGGCACACTCAGGTCTCAAACTGCTGAACTACCAACCTCCAACAGCCTGCAGTTCAGCGTCTTAACCACCTGAGCCACCGCAGCTCCGTAGGATACTTATCAAGCTACAATTCTGTTATACATCTTAGTATGGATGTGTCTGTAGTTTCTGTTCTTTTTTTAAAAAATGCTGTATTTTTTTTAAAAAGCTGCTATTCTGGTGACTTTGAAGTCTCTGTCACACCATGCACAGCCTTTTCAGGGGGAGGTCAACCCACTAAGGCAGTGGTTCTTAAATTTTTTGACGTGTGACCCATTTCTCTACTCACTGTGCTTTTCAAGGTCCACCTGCGAGATGACTCCACGCTACTTTTCCCTTTTCGAAAATTAAATGCAGGAATCTCATATCAATTAACACTGAGCGAGTTCATCATTTATTTTTAATTAGCAATCAATTAGCAGTCCAGTAATTTATTCACAATACTGAGCAGCAGGCTGAATTTTGTACGCATTCGGCACATTATACAGAGGCAACCCTACTGGTAAATTTGCCATTGAGCCTCCCAAAGATTTCTCTCCCAAATCATCTTGCATCACCTCCTCCCTCTTGGCCTTGTGATTTACCTGTATTTCAATTAATTTTTTAAAAGTGATTTACCTGCATGAGAGTCATGACCCACTTTGGGGTTCTGTCCTTCAGTTTGAAAACCACCGCAATAAGGAAATCCATAACGTTAAAACTGTCTTTTGGGATCTCCCTAAAACTATGATTAAATAAATCGTGATATGAGTCTTTTTGTGCTCCTGTTTTGTGGGCAGGAGTATGTGGAGGAGGGAAGACCCAGCACCTACAAATCTATGGTCAGCAACACTTGTAAGGAGATGTCAGCCATGACAGACTGTCCCTACCCAGAAGATTTCCCAGTCTTTTTACCCAACGCTAGGCTCCTGGAATATCTGCGTCTGTACACAAAACACTTTGATCTCCGGAAGTATATTCAGTTCCAGGTAAGTTATCGTGGCTTCGCATCAATTCAAAATTGGAATCGAGTGTATTTAAAAAATAATAATAATCAGTACGTTTAGATGTTTGTACCCTAGTTTATTGCAACTCAAACACAAAAAGTCTCTGTCCCAGATGACTGGAAATGTCATCCTAATTAGAGTAACACCCTTCTATTGACTTCTATGGCCTTAGAAGGACTGCACTGCAAATTTTGCATGATTGCTGTGCATTTAATACATACTACAAATTCCTGGAAAAATACTTTCAGTGAGCTGAGCTGGTCCAGCAAAAAAAATCCAAAAACAAAAGCTATGGGGTACCTTTTATTAAGACCAAACAAAAAAATGCTCACCTGCCGTATTTCCCGGTCTTTTTACCCAACGCTAGGCTCCTGGAATATCTGCGTCTGTACACAAAACACTTTAATCTCCGGAAGTATATTCAGCTCCAGGTACGTTATCGTGGCTTTGCATCAATTCAAAGTTGGAATCAAGTGTAATCTTTTTAAAAAAAATCAGTATGTTTAGATGTTTGTACCCTAGTTTATTGCAACTCAAACACAAAAAGTCTCTGTCCCAGATGACTGGAAATGTCATCCTTATTAGAGTAACACCCTTCTATTGACTTCTATGGCCTTAGAAGGACTGCACTGCAAATTTTGCATGATTGCTATGCATTTAATACATACTACAAATTCCTGGAAAAATTCTTTCAGTGAGCTGAGCTGTTACAGCAAAAAAATCCAAAAACAAAAGCTATGGGGTACCTTTTATTAAGACCAAACAAAAAAATGCTCACCTGCCGTTTTGTGTCATTTTTGTTGCTCCTTTCAAAAGATGGCTTTTGTTTTTGACTTAATTAATGCTGTTCTATCAAATGTTTTTTATCGATCACATGCAAACATCTTTCAGCATTTGTAAAAGTAGTCTTTTTATTCTGAGGAGCACTATCAGTTTGGTGTTTCTTCATTATTTAGAGGCACACTTGCTCTCCTTAATTATAGTGGCTTTTCTATGCAATTTTGTTGCTGTGAATTTTTACAATACCTTCAGCATTCTCCCGTCCTCCCACTTTGTTTCTTTGGACTCTTCCACATTCTCATTGTCGTTGCTTGTGTGTCCCTATTGCTGGGGGGGGGGGCTGTCTTTTCCACAGGTGTTTTGTTTTGCTCTCACTAGTGGTCAATTTGATATTGCATGAAATATGTCCAGCATATTTCCCTGCAGATTGAAACTACAGGTTTTAATGCTGGACATACAGCAATGTAATATTGAATTGACCACTAGAGTGAGCAAAAAATGTGCAGAAAACAACACCCCCCCCCGAAGCAATAGAGACACAGAAGCCACAAAAATTAGAATGTGAAAGAGCCCTTTGTCTCTGTGGAAGAGAGACAAACTGATGAAATTCGGCCTGACCTAGAAGATAGGCTATACATACCCTCCTCAGTTGACAAGCGCAAGCATTCAGATCTCCTAAGGGAGATCTGTCTAAATCTGGTTGTTGTTGCACAGTTTCTCCTTCATACCACAATGAATGCCACAATGCAGAATGCAAAGTATTCCCAGACTTGTGGTAGAAACACACTAATCTTAAAAGTAATAATAATCAGTGATCTAATTGTCATACCTGCCCTATATCTTAACCACCATCTTTAAAAACCACTGCCATGTTTTCCTTTGACTAAATTTGACATGGTCTTAAAATGAAAATGAAACTTAAAAACTGTGATCATAATAGGATGTTGCAGACAAACTTTGCATTCTTCCAGCTAGGCCATTTAAACCTGGCTGGAATTTAGGCCTGTGAGGAGGTGGAGATTAGAGATTTTACAAGCAAGCCGGGCTGCCTGTTTGGAAAGCACTTTCATAGAGTGGAGCTCACTGAATGATCAAACAGTGGACTCATGTGATGTTTCTGCTGCGGAATTTGCCCTGGAGAAGATAATAGAAACAGGTTTTGAGCCAGCTACTAATAGAAGTGGAGAAATGATGTGGCTTCGACTGCCAAGAGGTGGGATTGCCACACAGAACTTTGAATGGATGGAGAAGTTGACAGTTAGAAATTCAGAGTGACCATATGGACACTTATTTGACCTAAGCACTTTTTTCATCGTAGAGGAATTATATGTATTGTAAAGTTTTTAAGTGTCGATTAGTGTTAAAAATCTTTATAGTAGATACGTAAAGATTTCCATAAAATAATATCTTAGCAATGTCACAGTCGTTTGTATAGTTTGTATTGGTTGTTTAGACCTCCTGTTATGGCAGGAGGCCGAACTCCAACAAGCCCCGCTTGGTGGGAGGAAAGTAAAATTAAAAACAGTGATGTTGCCAGTGTTGCTCACGTCACTTCTGGGCGATACATACGGTAGTTCTAGCAACTGCCAGAAATATGCTTGTGCCCTTAGTAAAAAAACAGATAACTAAATCCAGTTGCGCGCATTTGTGGGCTCACGGCTTTCTGGACTCATCGTCGCCGTTTTCTCAAAACGTTTCAGACTACAGTGATCAGCATAAAGAAGTGCCCTGACTTCTCCACCAGCGGCCAGTGGGAAGTCGTCACGGAGACGGATGGGAAGCAGAAGTCGGCCATCTTTGATGCTGTGATGGTTTGCATTGGTTACCTCACTGAACCCTCCCTCCCCCTCGACTCTTTCCCCGGTACTGCCGATGCTGTGTTTCCCTCTACTTAGTGCCGACATTCATAAAGCTCTTCCATGTGTCTGGCAAAAAGAATAACAGAGGCATCCACATGTTGTTTCCATCTGTTACATCCAATGTTCCCTCTAAGCTGTGGAGTCTAGTGAGCAAAAATTCTACTTTGTGAGTTACTGGCATTAAAGTTGTGAGCAAGCAATTTGGCTCCTGCATAAATTAGTTTGCTCTGGAGCCCCATCCTTCCTGAGCAAAGACAAAAATGTGTGAGCTGGAGGCTGAAAAACTGTGAGCTAGCTCACATGAACTCAGTTTAGAGGGAACACTGGTTACATCCTCTTACTCAAGGATGTTTTTGTCTTCCTAGAAGAGGCCTTTTGAAGTGTGGATTGCTTATAGGCAATGTTGTATATACATTTCTTCCAGGACTGCGGTCCGAAGTTGTTGACAACGAGTTTGTATTAACACTTTATGGTGTGGACGGAGTGTCTCATGTTTTGAGTATGCGTCCATTACAAAGAATAGCTACGTACAGAAAACTTGCATAATGGAAACAAATACCATTGGGACTGACATAAAATTTGTTTTCTACTTGCAGGGAGATTTTTTTTTTAATGGGGAGGAGGAGTCACTCATGCGAGTCCCTCTGTCAGCTGCCTGAAATAACAGTCCAGGAGCCATTTACATGTTCCATTCTTATGGTGGTGGAAACAGCCATCACGTCACAACCAGTTTATATCAACCCCCGAGGATTTCCAAGGCAAGAGGTGAACAGAGGTGGCTGACAATGGCCTGCCTCTGCGTAGCAACCCTGGACTTCCTTGGCGGTCTCCCATCCAAGAACTAACCAGGCCCAGCCCTGCTTAGCTTCCAAGACTTGACAAGAGCGGGCTAGCCAAGGCCTCAGTTTGTGTATATGAGTTCTGTTCTAGGGCATCAGAATAGATACAATATGCAATGGGATATTGGGGTTGATCCAACTATCCACCAAGGAGCATTCCTCTAGCCCACTGTGTGACACGGACTGGATGGGCCATTGGCCTGATCCAACGTGGCTTCTCTGATGTTCCTAAGGCTCCTTCCTCCAACTTAAGAAGCTCTTCCCCCAAGGAAAGCTCCACAGGCGGGATGAAAGCTTCAGACTTTGTTCAGTGGAGTGGTGGGGCAGGAGAAGGATCCCCCTGCAGTGTTGACACATTATGACGAGCAGAAGCTGCTAGTACTCGCAGCTGATGCCTCTCTGTTTGGGGTGGCCACTTGATGCCGGACGGCAGTGAAGCCCCAATTGCTTTTTATTCGAAATCATTATCTGCAGCGGAAAAGAATTACGCTCAGATTGATAAGGAGGGGTTAGCACTGGTATCAGCGGTAAAAAAGTTCCATGATTTTTTGTATGGGAGGAAGTTTCTCTTGGTGACGGACGACAAACCGCTGTTAGGAATCTTTGCCAGAACAGCTTTTGCATCGAAGCTGTTCCACTTTTAAACTCTCTTGGCTAATGTAGCCACGCCCTACTATACAATATCAACCTATGAGGTTGCAGAGATAAGGTCCAATCACATTAGTTCCCGCTTCTGGAACTAGGCGTTGGTGATTGGTCAGCTCTTCCTGGGCTACCAATTACAAGTGAGGGATTTGGATCCCAGCCCAGGACGAAGCTTCACATGGTTTTTCAATCACTGCGTTTTATACATACATTGGGTCAGATTGAATACACCACACACACCCCCAATAAATGGGGAGCAGTGAAGGTGGCATGGTTGGGCTCCCTGTTAGTTCCTGCTGCCGCGTGTAGCCCTTCTGAAGGGGCACAGACCCCCTGAAAGGAGGGCCCAGTATAAAAGAAAACCAGTTATCTTGGCTGTATCTACTAAATCCCGCAGCTGGAGAAAGAACTGGATGTTTCCCACACAAACGGGTCTCCTCGTTCCTTCATGGCTTTCTTTCATTTCCACAGGACTTTTTCTGTACAAACGGGTCTCCCTGCTCCTGCATTTGTATTTCTCCACCTCTTTCACTCTTTTCCGCAGTGGTATTTTCAGTCCGAGATGCAAAAACAAAGTTTGTCCTCTCTTGCTGAACAGCATCAAACTTCCCTGTTTCCAGGAATTCCCTTGCTGCACCACAAAGAGGGAGCAAAGTTCGTTTTTGCTCCTCGGACTAAAAATACCTTGGTTAGTCATGAACTTTTATTCTGATGTATATAAAACATCATGGAACAAGGTTAGGAGTGTTTACATGATTTCATTATAAAATTACAAGCCATCCAAACTTTCTACCCAGTCTGATCTCGTTACTGATTACAATCGTTTGGCTTAAAAAAAAAAAAACCCACACGCCTTTTAAATTTGTGCTTCCCCTTTCTCTGATGTCTTTTCCTCTCTTTTTTGTTCCGGACTCTTACTTTGCATTCCTGAAACTCATGACAACTAGAAATCGCATCTGTACTTACTGGGGTGGGGGTGGGGATCAGAAATTGAAACTCTGAAAAGCAACAGGTGACCCAAATGTCAGTCTTTTTCTCGTGGCTCACAAGCAAAGGGATTGAATAAAGTTTGAATCAGTAGCACCTTAGAACCAACTGCACAGTTAGGATCTATGAACAGTTAAGGAATAACTAATCTGTGTTAAGCAATTGAGTGTACTGACTCTAGTTTAAGAACAGAAGAAATGCGTTGCTACATCAAACCAACATAACATATCCCAGCATTCATTTCTAGAATGCAAGCAAGCAGCACTAAGTGATACTACAAAAGTCTAAACGTTTTTCCCAGGGGTGTTTCTTCCTCCCCCCCACCCCTGCAGCCCTGGTCAAGTTTGGGGAAGTACGTGGAAGTTGCCGGAAACAAACACAAACACACACACAGGACTCTGCTCGCAGGTCATCACACCATGCCTGATTCGGACTTTAGTAGGGAATAAACCCTGCTTCCCCCGGGGCAGCCAGCGTGGCATTATGGACAGAGTGTTGGAGTACCAGAATACCAGAATATTTATTGTGTATATAGCCAAAGGCCATCACAATACAGGGTAATAAAAAGAAAGAAATTCTAATCATACATATTTGCAGGGCTTTTTTTGTAGAAAAAGCCCAGCAGGAACTCATTAGCATAATTGGCCACACCCAACAGCAGAAACTCATTAGCATATGAGGCCACACCCCTGACAGCACAGGTCATTAGCATATGAGGCCGCACCCCTGTGTTACCAGAAGTGTGCTCATCCAGCCACACCCACCCTTTGCTTCTTATTCTGTTTACCTTGTTTGTTGTCAAAACCCAGGGCCTTTTTTTGTAGCAGGAGCTCCTTTGCATGTTAGGCCACACACCCCTACTGTAGCCAATCCTAATGAGTTCCTGCTGTTGGGTGTGGCCTATTATGCTAATGAGTTCCTGCTGGGTGTGGCCAACTCGACCAATTTCTGGTTGTCCATTCCTGTGCGTTCCTGCCCAAAAATAGCTTTGCATATTTGGGAGAGTGTCAGAGTAGGTTCCTGGGAAACCCAGGTCCAAATCCCTGCTTCTTCCACGGAAGCCCACCGGGTGACCTGGAGCCCGTCTTGCTCTCACCATGAACCAGCTCACAGGGCAGTTGTGAGCACAGGGAGGAGGGGCAGGCAACTTTTCTAAGGGGCTTTTGGGTCCTAGCTGGGGAGGAGGACAAGATACAAATAACAACAAGTGCAAAGACATGCCTGCTTGTTTCCTGCCACGCCAGCCGTGTCTCAGGCCTTCCTCTGGTACGAGGTGAAGATTCTTCCACTGTGACTGAGCTCAGGGGCCGGATACATGCTCAGGGGTCTTCTTACCCGGGTTGAGCTGCACATGCTTCAAGTTTCCTTCTTGTTTCTGCACAGGCATCGACAAGTTTCAGGGGCAGTATTTCCATAGCCGGGAATACAAAACCCCAGACATATTCGCAGGTAAAAAAGTCCTTGTGGTCGGCATGGGGAATTCGGGAGTCGATATTGCCGTGGAAGCCAGTCGCATAGCAAAAAAGGTACATTTCTCCTCAGTCACTTTGTGCTTTGGGAATGGGCTACACTACGTTCTACCTACATTTGGAAAAGAGGATCAGAGTTCCACTTCCATGTTCACCACGGTGTCCCCCAAGCAATCCTGCATTAAAATCGGATTCAACCTTCTTTCTAATCCAAGGTTTCCCCCCATTCTGCAGTAAAATAGAGTTCAACCTGCTGTTTCCCTGGGTTATTTGGATGCTGTTTGGCTGTGGACTTAAATTGCCTTGACTCGAACACAGAGAAAATCCGGAATGGCCGGCAAATGCGGAAAGGACCGAAGCCACAGTTAGAACTAGGCTCCTCAACTGACTAGTCCTGGTGGCAAATTCCCTGCCCTAATCCCAATCTCCTGCCTTGAAGAATTTGAGGAGCAGGAGAAAAGATGCCTCTAGGAATTCCTCTTAGTCTCTATGGTGCTTACCATAGAGCTTAGGGGAAATCACTAGCGCATCACCTGGAAGTTACTTCACATCCTCCCTAAACTCCATGCTCCTCAAACACCACCACCAGAATCTCCTGGCATCTGCCTAGGCAGTGTTATGAGCCCTAGTTTCAACAAATATCGGGGTGGCCAAACTTGCTTAATTTAAGAGCCGCAGAGAGGGGGAGAAAGAAAGAAAGAAAGAAAGAAAGAAAGAAAGAAAGAAAGAAAGAAAGAAAGAAAGAAAGAAAGAAAGAAAGAAAAGAAAAGAAAGAGATGAGGGAGAGAGGAATAGAGACAGAGAAGGGATTTAAAGAGACAGATGCCTTCTCCATGCCAACCCAGCCAACCAGTGTGGCAGTGTGACACGACTTGGAGAACACATTAGATGGGGAGGGAGGGGAGAAAGAGAGAGAGAAAGAAATATGGAAATTTGGCAACTAACTTTAAATGCGTCCTCCAAGCCACCCCCACCATGGCCCCACACCGGCTGGCTTAGCTTGGAGAAGGGATTTAAAGAGACAAATGCCTTCTCCAACTCAGCCAGTGGGGGGAGCACATTGAGAAAGCATTTAAAGTAAAAGTTGCTTTCTTTCTCTGCTTCCCTCCACCTCAAGCCTACCCAGGGAGAGGAACACTGGCTGTGGAAGGGAAGACTGATTGGGGAGACATGCCTCCCCTTCACTTCCTCAGCCGCCCTGCTGGGAGCCGCAAAATATATGTGAAAGAACCACATGTGTCTCCCGAACCACAGTTTGGCCACCCCTGACCTATATGGAAGTCAATTCAAAATACACCCACCAGGGATAGGTTTTACTGTGTTAATTTGCAGCTGCTGCTGTCACTGTTCCTTACAAACAGCTCAAACTGTAAAAGTTAATGTGTAATTGCGCAGAACAAATTCCTTCTGTTTTGAACGGTAATGACTTTTTGAAAGAGCCGGTCCGTTAATATGTGCGATCGGAACCCCTGGGAGAGTTTTGTGGCAGACGGGCTTCAGAATTGGCCCGATACAAACTCCACCACATGTTTCCTTTTGTGTGTTCTTAGCTCTTCCTAAGGAACACGTGAAGCAAAGTCAGGGTTGTAGCCAGGATGGGGCCAGGTGGGCACCCTGCCCCACAGATACTTTGTCTTAAAATAACTCCTTTAAACTTGTGGAAGGAAGGCTTCCTTGTAAAGATGGAGAGTTTGTTTTCAGAACAGGAGGATTTTGCAGTTAAAATGTTGGTGACTAGATCTTTCTCACAAGTTCTCCAGACCCCACCCAGATATCCATCTTGTTCTGCCAGTCTAAGGCTCCGATCACATGTAGAAGTTGCCGCGGGATACTTACGGATGCCAGGTGGATCTTAAGGGTGCGATCAAATGGGCACATCTGGCAGGCGTCGTGCACCCGTTGCCAGCCCATCGCGTCCGGCCAAAGATGAGCAGTTAAAAGCTGCCGGTGAAAGTGCAGTAGCTAACACTTCCGACGGGCCATAGATGGACATCCTCCGTCTGATCACTCCAGCAGCTCCTCTCACTGTGTTGCGGTGCGCCGGAAACGCGCGCTGACGAACTGAAACCCGATTCCCATCTGATCGCATCTGGTCGGGTCAATGTGTACTTCCTGTTTTCTGACAGCGGCACAGATTTAGTCTAATTTACACTGATCTTTGTTATCATTTGTGGATTAGCCTTGCCAAGGCAGGGGAACCCCCGCCGAAACGGCCTCCAATCCGCCGCCGGGGATCGGGCTGCCGGGGGGAGCCCCACCCCTGAAATGGCGGAATCAGGCCCACGCCCCCAGCATGATGACATCACCCGGAAGTAACGTCATCACGCCGGGGACATCACCGGGCAATGCTCTAGCAGTCGCCCAAAAAACAAAGAGTCCCCCGCAGCCCTATTGTGGATTGTAATGTTTGGTGGCAGGAGGTTTATAAGCACGTGCAGTGGCTGTGCAGCATTTTCTTGGTCAAAGAAAATGCTGTTTCTTGGCAGAACCCCCTCTGTTTCTATGCCACCAGTTTTTACCACATTCTGTCAGACTTCCAGGTTCACCAAGAAAGTGTGTCTTTTTGTCAATAGACATTTTCTGGACTAACGTCCAAGGCAAGATCTTTTTGCTATTGCTTCACATAATTTTTATTTAGTTTACACTCTGAAACTCATTTAAATCTACGGTCTGGCATTTATGTGTTTTGGCTGTAGCTTGTCATCAGGCACTGCTGTGTTTTGTTTGGTGTGGTGGTTAAGAGCAGTGGACTCTAATCTTGATAACCGGGTTTGACTCCCCACTCCTCCTCCACATGCAGCCAGACCGTGGGCAGTCACAGTTCTCTCAGAGCTCTCTCAGCCCCACCTACCTCACAGGGTGTCTGTTTTGGGGAGGGGAAGGGAAGGAGATTGTAAGCCGTTCAGAGACTCCGAGTGGAGGGTGGCGTATAAATCCAGTCTCTCCTTTTTCTTTTGACGATCTTCTTTGTTTCTTCTAGGCGATGATCAGCACGGGCAGAGGCGCTTGGGTGATAAGCCGCGTGTTTGACGACGGCTACCCATGGGACATGGTGTTCCTCACTAGGTTTATGAACATTGTCCGGAATGCCCTCCCCAGTCGCGTAACGGGCTGGCTGCTTGCATCCCACTTGAACCAGCGGTTTAACCACGCGAACTATGGGGTGGTCCCAAAGGAGAGGTACTTGGGGCTAAACTGGAGGTTGACATGGGAAAAGAAAAGAAAGCCAACAGAAGTATAGCATATATGTGTGTATAAAAAATGGAAATGTCTACGCCATATTCAGAAAAGTAAAATCAGCACATTAACCAAAGGGCTCGGGCTGCCAGCCTCCAAGCGGGGCCTCACGTTCTCTCAGAATCACAACTGATCTCCCAATGATAGTAATCAGTTCCCCCCTTTGCAAAGCAGCCATTTCAGAGGGTGAACTCTGTGTAGGGTTGGCCGGTCACCAGGTGGGAAGTAAGTTATACAAAAGATCGAACCTTGCATAAATAACAGGGGGGGGGATTTTTTGCTCCCCAATGGGGAATTTTTTATTGCATTTTTATTAAGACTAAAAACTATAACAGAAATGAGGGAGGGGACTACATTTAAGAGATAAAGAAAAGATACCCACTACTGACTAAAAACCCAGGAGAGGAGATCATCAAATTAGCTTAAATATACGCTATCTCTTAATCACGCTAGTACCATTATGAATTGAGTTACATATCATTTTATCTCTTTCAAAACTTAAACTTAACTGTTAACAGGTAAGACCCCTCAGCATCTAGTTTCAATACTTTCAAAGGCACAATTCAGAGTCCTTCAGCCTTCATTTTCCCTTTCCCTGTCTCTTCCGGAATTTATAAGGACTTTTAGGGGCTGCTGCCCCTTTCTCTGATAGAGAGTCCTCTCCAGAAGACCCCGAGTCCAGCTCACCACTGGACTTACTGTTCGTCCCTTCTTTTTCTTCCTCTTCTGGCTCTCCCAACTGGATTCTCAAAAATTCCTGTGCTTTCTGCACAGAGTCAATCTTCTCTTTTTTGTCCTTGATTTTGAAGGTGACGCATTCTGGAGTTAGCCATCTATATCCAATTGCATTTGTCTGAAGAAAAAGAACTAAGTCTTTGTATTTCTTCCTCCGTCTTATTTCAAATGGAATGTCTTTTAAGATCCTGATAGTATTGTCTCCATCTTTCACGGGTGTTCCAGATGCCGCTTTCAGGATTGCATCCCTCACATGCCTCTTCGAGAATCTTATCACTATTTCCCCAGGCAGATTATTTTTCTTTATATATTCAGAATATGACCTATAGGCCACATCCATATCACTCAGCAAAGATTCCGCCTTCATATCCGTCACTGGGGCCAGTATGTCACTCATCATTTCCTTTAGATTCTCTCCCTTAGTCTCTGGAATGCCCTGGAAGCGAAGAATCAAATTAGCCTTTTCCATTTGTAATTGCAGCAACTGTTCTTCTGTGGAGATTTGCTTCTTTTCCAGTTTTTGTACTTTCTTCTTCACCTTTTGGGCAGTGACTTCCACTTCTTTCACCTTCTCAGCTGTTTGATTCATCATTTTAAGCGTCTCATTCAACTGTGTTTGCTGAGTGGTGATGCATTGGTTCATTGTTGACAGCTGCTCCCTGAGGTTACTCATCTGATCCAGCAGAGGGCGCATGGATTCCGCTAATGTCTTTGCCAGCTCGTTGTTTCCTTCCGGTCTTGGACTCTCCGTTCCTTTCGCTTTTAAAAGTTTCTCTTTCTCCGTCCTCTTCCCCGCCATCTTTAAGGATTGTTTACTTTCGCAAATATTTTAAAAGTCTCTGAATATGCGCTTATATGCTCAAGCTCGCCTTGGTAAGTCTTTCTTAACAGTTTTCTTCACTTTCTCTTCCACTCCCCCCCTCCAATTCGCTTAAAGTTCATGCGCATGGGAGGCGTCCCTCCCCCCCTCGCCTCACTTTCTGTTCCATGGGGTGGGGAGCTATCTTTTCAATTTAACCGGTACGCTTTAAATGAACTCACATTCATAATTGGTCCTCAGACCTCGTTTTAGCTCCATTTCCGTGCTCGATCTCCTGCACTTGCCCCGGTTAGCATCACTTAGTTCCATTCGGCCACACAGCATGAAGAACCTTCAGGACAGAGAGGCGCCTCAATTCCCTGGCATCGCGCTGGCGAAGAGGCGAACTCTCGAGAATCCCATGGCCAGCGACCCTTCAACTGGGTCTCTGGGGGGGTAACAATCCTGCGCACACACACCCTTCTGCTGGTGTGCAGCTTCACCCCCGGGAGTTCCGGGAGGTGAGTCTGCTACCACACCACCATCAACCGGAAGTCCAATAACAAAAAATATTCAGCAGTCAATGAGCATGGTAATCTGAACCTATATAAAGGGTGTAGTTGATCAAAAATGCAATATGATACTCAGAAATTCAAACATACATGGTCCAAATGCACAAACAACCTTCAGGAATAGTCCAAGTGACATTCCTCAAACAGTGACAAGTCCAAATATCAATGTTTATAATTCCTCTTCGAAGTTTTTCAAAGAGGAGTTATAAACATTGATATCTGTTTATTTGGACCATGTATTTTTGAGTTTCTGACTATCATATTGTATTGTTTATAAACTACACTATTTATATAGGTTCAGATAATCATACTCATTGACTGCTGAATGTTTTTTGTTACTTATGCATGGTTTGATTTTTGTGTATCTTTTATGTCGTTTACTCCCTTCGGTGCTTCTCTGCTGTTTGGGTTTCTCACCACCGACCGGGTGGGGGCTGGGGATCTCCCAGAATCACGACGGATCTCCAGAGTTCATAAATGGCTTATTCACTTATTATTTATTTATTTGAACCATTTACTCCACTTCCCCTGCAGACAGTGGCTGTTTTGGAAGGCCGACTGCATGCCATGAGACCCTGCTGAGGTCCCCCCCTCCCTAAATGACAGTCTCCACCCTCAAATCACCAGGCATTCCCAAACCCCCGGGGCTGGCAACTCTAACGCCCATGCTAAGTCCCCTCCATCGACTCCATCCTCTTAAGGCTCTGCTTGCAAATCTCCAGGAATCTATGAATCCAGGGTTGGCAACTCTTCCAAGTGCCCCACTGAAGAAAACAGTCTGAGGCGAAACGTTTTGGTCCCTCAGGGGAAAAATCTGACTCCCCTCCCCGATTAACAAGGGAGACAATTCATCCAGAAAGCAATGGCCTTTCTTGGTTGTTGCTTTTTCCTTTTGGTTAAATTTGTTTAATGTATCCATACGAATCTTAGGCGCTGCCTCAGAAGTCAGAGAGTGTGGTATACAAATCTTTTTAATCCAGTTCTCCTGTGTGAGCCTCACTGCAAGGCCTAAGAGCTGCAAGTGCTCCATTTCAGAGAGGCTGGTACACAACTCCCTGATACAGGATTGTCAGTTCTGGGTGGCAATTACCTGCAGATTTTGGGGGTGGAGCCTGGGGAGGGTGGGGTTTGGGGAGGGGAGGGACCTCAGCAGGGTACAATGCCATAGAGCCCACCTTCCAAAGCAGCCGTTTTCTCATGGGGAACTGATCTCTGTCAGCTGGAGACCAGTTGTCTCCAGTCCCCACCTGGAGTCTTGCTACCCTGCCCTGGTGTCCTCTGCCAGGGAGATGGGCCTCTCTCTCTCTGCCACTCTTACTCTACCACCTTGAGGAGGCTGTCACATCTTGCCATACAGAGATGCTCACAGCTGCCTGTGTGCATTAAGGAGAGGGTTTCAAACAGGGCAAGGCCACAGACGTCATGCTTAGGGATGTGATTTGTATGGGTTGTAGCCAGTGTTCCCTCTAAGCTGAGTTAGTGTGAGCTAGCTCACCGTTTTTTAGCCTCCGGCTCACGCATTTTTGCGCCACACTTACTCCACCGCCCTGAGGAGGCCGTCACATCTTGCCATACAGAGATGCTCACAGCTGCCTGTGTGCATTAAGGGGGGGGGGGTTCAAACAGGGCAAGGCCATGCTTAGGGATGTGATTTGTATGGGTTGTTGTAGCTATAATTGATCAGGCAACAAAAATGAAAAACACATCCAGCTATGGGGCAGTGGCTTTTCTCAGGACCCATCTCTCCCTGGACCCTCAGACAGTGTTTTCTAGTATGTTTCACTAGAGGCTTGAATTCTTTGCTCTGCTTCCCATGTTGTTGTTTTTTTAACAGATGCAGGGGAATTAACCTGTGATCACTTTGACATGTACAGAAATATAAAAATTATGCCTTCAACTAGGGTGAACTTGTGAGGACTCACAGGGAGAAAAGCATATCTGTCCCCATCCATCCACTGGTCCTCCGCCCCACACGGTCCCTGTTTCCCCCCTCCTTTCCTGCCACAGCTCCTCCCCTTTCTGCTTCCTTCTCCCCCCCCCCCCCCTTCCTTTTTTCCCCCCTCCCTTCTTCTTCCCCTTTT